CTCCGGTCAGTATGCCTCTGTACGTCCCATCCAAGGGCACCCTTCCCTGGGACTGGCAGAAATGTGCGTCCCAGAAAAAGGTGCGGTTCGAACGAAAAGCAACTACGAACCTATATACCTATATACACTCTATTTGTGTGTTTTTTATGTGTTTGTAGATATACGCATGGATAGTTATAGCTCGATATAAATGTGTATACATATATACATTATGCATGGATATATATATATATATATACAGATATGCACATATATAAAGATGGTGATGTTGACGATGATGTTGACTGCAATGATGCCAATCACAACGATGACAATTATGTTGTTATGTTTGGTCATGGCGATGACGTGGTGATGATGATGGTGATGATGGTGATGCTGATGATGATGCTGTTGATGATGATGGTCATGATGGTGGTGATGATGGTGATGGTGATAGTGGTAGTGAAAGTGGTCATGATGATGACGACGATGGCGATGCCGATGACGATGACGATATTGATGATGTTGGTGATTTTGATTATGGTAACTTATGGTGATGGTGAGCATGATGATAAAGATAATGATGATGTTGATACAGATGATGGTGATGATGGTGGCGGTGGTGATGATGGTGATGAAGATGAAGGTGGCGATGGTGGTGGTGATTATGATGATAATGCTGATTGTGATGGTGGTGATGATGATGATGATGATGGTGATTCATGATAATGATGCTGATGGTGATGATGCAGATGATGATGATGATGATGATGATGATGATGATGATGATGATGATGATGATGAGGATGGCTGTGGTGCTGGAGGTGGTGCTGGTGGTGGTGATGGTGATGAAAATGATGATGATGATGATGATGATGATGATGATGATGATGATGATGATGATGATGAGGAGGAGGAGGAGGAGGAGGAGGAGGAGGAGGAGGAGGAGCATGAAGGAAGAAGGAGGAGGACTTAGGCGGACGCAGTGAGATGAGGGATACGAGGAGGAGAAAGAGGAGGAGAGGGCCGTCACATGTGACACGGAGCTTGTTGGGCTCCTCCTGGGGGCCTCTTGGGGGCATTGTGGAGGCTCTTTGGGGCTCCTTGGGCCGTGCGACGGCGCTCTTGGACCGTCTGGAGTTTCAGAGTCCGTCTTGAGGGCTTCTATGTGCCGTCCTGGGGCTGTCTGAAGGGTTTTTAGGCCCGTCTTGGGGCCCCCTCGGGCAGTGTTGGAGCCCTATCGTGCAATGTGGAGGCCGTCTTTATGGCCTCTTGGGCCCACCCTCCAGTTGGCGGTGGTGAAAGGGGCGGCGAAGGGCGAGACTGGCTCAGAGGAGAGAGCATCGACCCCCAGTCTCCCTCGCATCGCCGATCGGGGCTGTGTTGCCCCGCCCTGTACAGGAGCGTGCGTTTTCGCTGCCGACCTGCTGGCGATGTGTCGTCGGCTCTGGGCCCTGTGCTGCCCCCTGAGCCGGTCCCCCCTCCTGAGCTGGTTCCCCTCATGGGCAGCAGGGTGCCCTGCGTGCCGCGAGGTCGCCCGCAGGGTGGCGAAGAGCACCCCGCTTCGCGGCCCTGGGCCAGAGAGTCGCTGCTCTGCAGGGGGCGCGCGAAAGCACCGAGGTGGCCGCGAAGTTGGGCGGCATGCCCCCTCGCAGCCCGCCCCCCTCCCCCCAGAGCCCCGCAGAGCCCATCGCAGCGCCAAGACGCGCCCCAAGCTGCCCGCGACCTCGATCCTCAGTCGAAGACGGCGACAACGACAGCTGCACTGCTCTGCAGCCCGCTGTTTTGATGAGATGGCATGCGGAGTCGCGACGGGGCGCGAGGGCGCGCCTGGACCATCGAGCGATCAACAAAGCACGATGATACAACCGAAACAACTCGCCATCCTCGTCGCCGTCGCTTGAGGATTGAAGGTCGAGGACCGGCAGGCTTGGATACGGTTGGCCCTGCACGTGTGGGGCCTCCTGAGGCCTCTTTAAAGAGCCTCCGAGGCCTCGTAGAGCCTCCTGGGGACCTCCAGAGCACCCGGGAGGAGCAGCCGAACGTGGAGGAGGGGGAGGGGACGGACAGGGCAGATCGAAGATGACCATCCTCCAGAGGCTTCGGAAGCTGATCCATCATCATGTCCAAACCGTGAGAAATTGCTTAACGTGTGAAGAACCTGCCCATCATTCCCCATACTCCACCCCTCTCTTCCCGTTTACTTCGCGTAGTCCTTGAGCAGATGTTTGTGGGGTTTACCACGGCGAGCTGCTGCGTAAGGATGATTTGTCCTCTTCCTCGGGATGGTAGGTGAAGGCCCAGGCAGTTCCCTACTGACCGCCAGATTCTCCGCTCTTCTCTGCCCTGGTCTATCTCCCCTTTGTTCCCAACCCTCCTATGGTTGGGTACTCGTTTTGAATAGAGCAGTGTGGTCGCCCAGTCCTTCTCCTCCTCCCCCCTCCTCCCCTCCTCCTCTCCTGTCTCCTGTGTTCCCCTCTCCTCTTCTCTCGTGCCGTCGGGCTGCGATCTGCGAAACTGTCGCCACTTTCGTGGGCTCCTGGGAGGCCCAGCGGAGGTAAGTCCAACGCGGACCACCTCGAGACCTCGCCGCCCCCTGGGGGGCTGCGATCTGCAAAACTGTCGCGGACTTTCGTGGGCTCCTGGGAGGCCCAGCGGAGGTACGTCCCACGCGGACCATCTCGAGAACTCGCGGCGTCCTGGTGGGCTGCGATCTGCGCAACTATCGCCGCTTTCGTGGGCTCCTGGGAGGCCCAGCGGAGGTACGTCCAACGCGGACCACTCAGAGACCTCGCGGCGCCTTGGGGGGCTGCGATCTGCGACACTTTCGTGGGCTCCTGGGAGGCCCAGCGGAGGTACGTCCCACGCGGACCACCTCGAGACCTCGCGGCGCCCTGGGGGGCTGCGATCTGCGTAATTGTCGCCATTTTCGTGGGCTCTTGGGAGGCCCAGCGGAGGTACGTCCCACGCGGACCACCTCGAGACATCGCGGCGCTTTGGGGGTGCAACGATCTGAGAAGAAAGTCGCCACTTTCGTGGGCTCCTGGGAGGCCCAGCAAAAATACGTCCCACGCGAACCACCTCGAGAACTCGCGGCGCCCTGGCCGGCGGAGGTACGTCCCACGCGAACCACCTCGAGAACTCGCGGCGCCCTGGGGGGGAGGGGCTGCGATCTGCGCAACTGTCGCGGACATTCGTGGGCTCTTGGGAGGCCCAGCGGAGGTACGTCCCACGCGGACCACCTCGAGACCTCGCGGCGCCCTGGGGGGCTGCGATCTGCGCAATTGTCGTCATTTTCGTTGGCTCCTGGGAGGCCCAGCGGAGGTACGTCCAACGCGGACCACCTCGAGACCTCGCGGCGCCCTGGGGGGCTGCGATCTGCGAAGCAGTCGCCACTTCGTGGGCTCCTGGGAGGCCCAGCGGAGGTACGTCCCACGCGGACCACCTCGAGACCTCGCGGCGCCCTGGGGGTCTGCGATCTGCGCAACTATCGCCATTTTCGTGGGCTCCTGGGAGGCCCAGCGGAGGTAAGTCCAACGCGGACCACCTCGAGAGGCCCAGCGGAGGTACGTCCCACGCGGACCACCTCGAGACCTCGCGGCGCCCTGGGGGGCTGCGATCTGCGTAATTGTCGCCATTTTCGTTGGCTCTTGGGAGGCCCAGCGGAGGTACGTCCCACGCGGACCACCTCGAGAACTCGCGGCGCCCTGGGGGGGCTGCGATCTGCGCAATTGTCGCGGACTTTCGTTGGCTCCTGGGAGGCCCAGCGGAAGTACGTCCCACGCGAACCACCTCGAGACCTCGCGGCGCCCTGGGGGGCTGCGATCTGCGAAATTGTCGCCACTTTCGTGGGCTCCTGGGAGGCCCAGCGGAGGTACGTCCCACGCGGACCACCTCGAGACATCGCGGCGCCCTGTGGGGCTGCGATCTGCGCAATTGTCGCGGACTTTCGTGGGCTCCTGGGAGGCCCAGCGGAGGTACGTCCAACGCGGACCACCTCGAGACCTCGCGGCGCCCTGGGGGTGCTACGATCTGCGCAATTGTCGCCTTTTTTCGTGGGCTCCTGGGAGGCCCAGCGGAAGTACGTCCCACGCGAACCACCTCGAGACCTCGCGGCGCCCTGTGGGGTCTCGATCTGCGCAATTGTCGCCACTTTCGTGGGCTCCCGGGAGGCCCAGCAGAGGTACGTCTTACGCGTTGCCGCTGCTTTTCTTGCTGCGCTCTTCTGAGTTCACTGATGTGTGCTCTTCTTCCGCACTGCGGGTTTTTCAGCATGCCCGTCAGCATTGAGTGGTCCCGAATGTAACCACCACATGTACAGAAAGGGTTGGGTACGTCGCAGGGTAAGTATTCGCAATCGTTATGCTGACCATCCCCAATCCTTAGAGGTTATGAGTCTCGGACTGGGACGCTTGCGCGTCTGTCAACTGCCAAGCATCCCACAAGATCTGATACACATGCAGGAACGTCGCGCCGATATGCTAGGCGGTTTCAGTGCTACGCCTTTGAGACCGATCTCATTACCACATGAAACGCGGTGCTAAATACTTGAGACGAAACATGAGCAAAGTCCCTCTTCCACCTCATCCTCTTCCACCTCCTCCTCCTCCTCCTCCTCCTCCTCCTCCTCCTCCTCCTCCTCCTCCTCCTCCTCCTCCTCCCCCTCCCGCCTCCCTCTTACTCATCCTCCCTCTTCCTCCCTCTCCTCCCCCTCCTCCTCCGCCCCCTCCTCCTCCTCCTCCTCCTCCTCCTCCTCCTCCTCCTCCTCCTCATCCTCCTCCTCCTCCTCCTCCTCCTCCTCCTCCTCCTCCTCCTCCTCCTCCTCCTCCTCCTCCTCCTCCTCCTCCGCCCTCCTCCTTCTCCTCCTCCTCCTCCCCTCCTCCTCCTCCTCCTCCGCCCTCCTCCTCCTCCTCTCCTCCTCCTCCTCCTCCTCCGCCCTCCTCCTCCTCCTCCTCCGCCCTCCTCCTCCCTCCTCCTTCTCCCTCCTCCTGCATCCTCTGGGCGGCCTCGGCCGCACCAAGGGCGGACCTGCACCAGCGGCTGGAGCAGCTGCGGGACGACGCGAGGAGCGACCGCGCGGCGTGCAACGCCCTGGCCGAACAGGCGAGCCCCGCCTCGCCACCGCTCTCTGGGGCGCGAGCACAGTCGGGCTTCGGCGCCCCGTAGCGGCGGCGGCGGCGGCGGCGGCGGCGGCGGCGGCGGCCTGGGCAGGGGAGCTGCGCCCCTCTCCTGGACGGCCTCGCGCGGGCGCGAAGGTGGTCATCGGGACGCGGTGCGCGAAGCTTGGCGACCTGGGTCCTCATGAGGGGGTTGGGCCCCCTGGCCTCGCGATAGGTTGCTCTGGAGGTCAGGGGGGCACACCTCGGCGAGGGACACCTCTGGCAGCACCCAGCGAGAGCGAGGCGCCTGCTTCTCTGGAGGCGGGCTCGAGCCCGTGGCGTCTTGGGTGGCGCAGGCCTCGCTCCCAATAGGCCGGCGTGGGGCACGCCGTCGGGCTGGCAGCGCCTGGCTCTCTGGTAGCTCCGGCTCCCGAGGAGAGCATCGGGGCAGGAGGGGGGGGGAGAGGAGGAGGAGGAGGAGGAGGAGGAGGACGAGGACGAGGACGAGGACGAGGAGGACGAGGAGGACGAAGAGGACGAAGAGGACGAGGAAGAGGACGAGGACAAGGACGAGCTGTAGCAGCAGCAGGAGCATGAGGGGGAGGAGGAGGAGGAAGAGGAGGAGGAAGAGGAGGAGGAGGAGGAGGAGGCGGATGAGGAGGAGGGGGGGGAGAGGAAGAGGGGAGAGGAGAACGAGGGGACAGGAGGAGGAGGAAGAGGAGGAGGAGAAGCAGGAGGAGAGGAAGGAGGAGGAGCAGGAGCAGGAGAGAGGAAAGGAGGAGCAGGGGGATGAGAAGGAGGGAGTGGGAGGAGCTTCTTGCCATCTGCCAGAATTTGGGCTGGCATTTTCGACGGCGGTTTCCAGCGCCCGCTGCGTCGTGTTTCTTCAATGCGTACTTCAGTTTTGCTGGAAAGCGGCGCTGCTCCTCGTCACAGACACCGTCCCTCGTCCTCATTCAGCCCTCGTCCGCTCGGGGCCCCCTCCCCAGCGGAAGGTGACTGAGCACGAGACCCGCATCGTGGGATGCAGGGCGTACGTGGACAGCCACCAGGGCACCCTGGCCTCCTTGGACGACCGCATCCGGCAGGCGCTCCTCTTCCACCACCACCCCCTATCACTCTTTTCGCATGGATGTTTAGCTATTCTTCATGTCGATGGGGCGGGCGGGAACATTCGACTCAGAAGACATCTTCCCGTGTATAACCCCGAAGGTTCCGAGATTTCTGGCAGTTTTGACGGCTGGAGGGAGGTCTTATTCAACATATAGTTTTCGTTTCAGCGTTGGGCACACTCTTCGTAGACATGATCAACAGGTGTGATTATCAGGATGCGGTTCTCGTCTTCGCGCCACGCACATTCGTACAAACGGTTTCCGACCGTTACACGGATGGGGGAAGGTGGTTTACAACATGCGGTTCTCGCCGCAGTGTTGCGCGTCGCACATTATCCCAACAGTTACACAGATGGAAGGGGTCGTTTAAAACATGTGGTTCTCGTTTCAGCGCCGCGCACATTCGTCGGAGAATGGTTCAACAGTTGCGCGGATGGAGGGCAGTTCGTTTTCAACATGTATTGTTCGTTTGAGGTGACCGTCAATTCTACGATTCCAAACCTGAAGTTGTGCAACAGTTGTTGGGATGCAGGGTGGTTACGTTCAAATCAGAGATTTTGGTTGATGCACTGTCTTGCTGCTCTGCACCTCTGATGTCCTCTGCCTCTGTGTTTTGCGCTCCGAGCGTGGATGTGCTCGTAAAGGTCCAGGCCTTGATGGTTTGTGTTCTGGTTATTGTTTTGGGTTGTTTTGGTCGACGGCCTGACTGACGGATAATTCATAGTGAATAGACTCATTGACACGTGCCGTTGCCAGCGTAGACGCGGAGGCGTCGGACTTCTTGAACGGGAGTCTGATCGGGAAACGTTGTAGCCACCTCGTTGAAAACGACGATCGTGCCCATATCGAGCGCTGCTTTGGCGAGAGCAACATGGAGCCCTCAGAAAGGTTCATGGCCTGGGCGTGTGGCACTCTGTGGCACCACGCTCGATGGGCGCGGCCCTAGCCTCGACGGGGCCTTGCCAGCCGTACGTTGCCGAGATCTGACTCACTCCGCGCGGCCCTCGTGTGAGGTATCGCTGGCCGTTGGCGCCTGCGGCTGCACCCGGATGCGCGTGCAGATGGTTCCACGATGCATCTGCATGTGCAGGCAGTCCGCAGGAGGCTCACGGTGGCGGACAGGCAGCATCGAGGGGCCCGGTGTTCATTCGCAGTTACTTGTGTCCCTCTTCCGCCTCGTCCTTGTCCTGTTATTGTGTCGCTGCTCAGTGAAGCCTGCGCCCCCTTGCCCTCGACGCCTTTCTTCCCTCCTCCCCCTCCTCTTCCTCCTCCTCCTCCTCCTCCTCCTCCTCCTCCGTTTGGTCTACATGGCGTCTTCAGCGTAGTGCACACCCCCGGCAATGATGCCCTCTGGCATCTTGTCGCGGACACCCGAGTTCCGAGTTCTGAGTTCCTCCTCCTCCGTGGCCGCCCCCTGCTGCCTCCCGCCTGCTCGTGTGCCATTCGCCTCCACCACCACCACTACAGAATGGAGAGGGAGGAGGAGAAGGAGAAGGAGGAAGAGGAGAGGGAGGAGGAGGAGGAAGAGGAGGAGGAGGATGAGGAGGAGGAGGAGGAGGAGGAGGAGGGGGAGGAGGAGGAGGAGGGCCTCCCCAGCAGCCCCTCTTCCCCGTCCTGCCTATTGGTAACATCTGCCCTTCGTGAGCCTGGCGCCAGCAGCCCTCGCGCCCCTTTCGGCCCGCCTCGCCGACCCCGATTCTCTTTTCAGGAGAGAGAAAGAACACACACACAGACGCAATGAATCGTCGACTCCCCAGAAAATACGGGAGAATATGGGAAGTGGGGGGGGAAGACAACAACCCCGAAAAGATTGGAAAATAGGGGGAATCCTGTTCTTTGTGTATATTCATCTGTGCGTCCCAGGGCCCCTTCCTCCTCGGCAGCCCGCGGCAGGTTTGCGAGAGGCAGCTGGTCCAGCCCCTGAGCAAGAGCGTCCGGGAGCTGGCCCGGAAGCACCTCGAGGCGCAGGAGCGGAGCGAGGCCCTCCCCGTTGGGGGGGGGGCATGCCAAGGGCCGCGGACCCCGTCGTCGTCGTGACCGTCGTTCTTCTTCGTCGTCGTCGTCGAAGCCGCCGTCTTCGTCGACATCGTCGTCGCCATCGCTGCAGGGGAGGCAGGAGGAGGGAGAGAGAGAGGGAGGAGGGAGGACCGAGGTTTTGGTGGGCTTGCGGCGGTTCTTGTGCATCCAGAGGGCTCCGAGGGATTCTGGAGGACTCCAGGGACCTCGGGGGGCCTCCAGGGGCTTCTGGCGGAGGTCCTGAGACCTGAGACCGAGAGGAGAGCGGAAGAGGATCGAGGTTCGGGGATGGAGAGTGGAGACGTAGGATCGTGTGTCGAGGCACGGCCTCCTTTCCCCCGAGATCTTGGCCGAAACGCGCTCAGGAGGGACCCTGCCCCTTGGCGTCGACAAAAGGCACTGCCCGAGCGTTTGCTCTAATGATTTGGTCTGTGGCGGCCCGTTTCGTGCCCAGGACTGTGAGCACAACGATTCGGGGCACGAAGCCGATGCTGGGGAGGAAGGGGTCGAGAGCGTTAGGACCCGACGAGTCAAGAGAAGTGAGTCGTCCGCAGCCTGGGGAGGGAGGAGCAGAGGAGGAAGGACGGGTGGGGGAGATGAGGAGCAGGATGCTTTTGTTAATGGACTTGTTTCTTGATTGCTCATTGAGCCCCTCTCTTGTCCCTCTTTGGCTCTCGTTGTCTGTTTTGACATGGTGCATGCCTTGCCTGCCCGCGGCCCGCCGCGGGCGCCCGACGCTACGGGCGCACCAGCGCGCCCATCAGCCTGCGCATGAAAAAGCGGGACGCTTCGAGGAGGAGGAATAAGAAACGTGTTGATAAGGAGGAGGCGCAAGTTCATTCATCGGCAGACCATGACCAACAACTCCGTCGGCCAGATTTGACCGGCTGGGGCGGCCGCGTGGCGCGAGAGAAAGGTAATACGGCACATGATTTGGAATTGCGCGCCCAATATCACAAGATACATGCTGCAGTAATCCCCACCTCATTTACAGAAGGCTTCCCTCAAGACCCTCGGCGTGGGCTTTCCTCTTCAAAACCGATCTCCCGAAGTCCAGCCATGGCGACAGGACGCCCCCCCCAGAGAAAGACAACCAACTGTCGCGTCTCGATCCTCGATTTTGCACGGGGCGCTCGAGGTCTTGGTTTCTCCCGCCCTGGTTCGAATCAGGAAAACGAATTACACAAACACATCTGTTCGGAGGTCTGCGCTGATTTCTTGGACCGCCGTTTGACCCCTGCCAGGCGTCCTCCGCGTGCCAGGGGCGCTTCTGGAGATGCCGCCAGGGCGATCGATCCAGCGCCGACCCAAGACCTCCACGCGGACCTCCGAAAGTTACGTCCGTGCAGCTTCTTATGTCAGGAGGGAAAGAAGCACACAGACACAATTAATCGTCGACTCCCAGGAAAGTATGGGAAAATCTGGGAAGTGGGGGGAAAACAAAAATCAAAAACAGATCGAAGAATATGGGGAATCCTGTTCCTTGTGTGTATACTTGTGTGTCCCAGGGCCCCTTTCATCATTGTTCCCCCACATGGCGCGCACAGGCCACCAGGATGGCGCTCGACCAGGTCCACGAGGTCGTGTCGAGCTTCCAGCGTCAGGCGCCGTGGGTTCTCGAGAGGGGGAACAGCGCGGTGTGCGCACGGGGGGGTGCCGAGACCTCCTCCTTCGCTTCTCCTTTTCATTCTCGCCCCCCCCCCCCCTCCATCCATCCCCCACCCCCCTCTGCATCCATCCTCTTCCACCCCCCTTCCATCCCCACCCCATCCCCTCAGTCCTTCTCCGCCCCACCCCCGCACCCCATCCGTCCTCCCCTCGCCCCGCCCAACAAGTTCCTCCCCTTTTCCCTCCTCCTCGCCATCCTCATCCCGTTCATCCTCTTCCTATCCTCCCCCTGCTCTTCTATACTACTCTTAAATCTTCCTCCTCCAAGAAGAAGGTCTGCATGGGTGAGGAAATAGGAGGAGGACGAGGAGCAAGAGGAGGAGGAAGAGGAGGAGGACGAGGACGAGGACGAGGACGAGAAGGAGACGCACGTGGCAGATTGTAGCGCTCCGGTTGGGTGATCGGTCTTCCAAGGTGCATTCATGTTTCGTGCATTGGGAGCGTAGGAAGTCTCACGCCGTGTTGGTTCCGTTTGTGCGCCACTGTCGTCGGCTCAAGTTCCACATGCTTCCGGATAAAGTAGCACTCACCACTGTATCATGGTAGCGGAGCCCGTGTTTCGAAGCCACGTGCCTCAGTGCGCGTGGTAACACCGCGAAGCACGCCCCTTCGGCAACCGCAGCGGCTCCTCCGAAACCTGGCGCGACCGTCCTAGGATCCGATGTGAAGCTTCAGGAGGTCCGAGAGGTCTGGTACAACCTGCGCACGAGCCGAATCGCGGAATTGCGTAATGCTGGTTCCAAGAACGGAGATTTCAGGTATGTGAACGCGTCGTTGCAGGCCAGTCATCAAGGCATGAGGTTCTTTTTCGATCACAGCGAAACACGGAGCATCAGGACGGCCCAATAACTTTACAGAACACGTCAGGTGATAACTCCAACAGCAAGCGGACGCCCCGGAGCACCTCACCACGCTCGTTCAGGCAATGCGCTGCGTTGGAAGCGCCAGGGCCGGAGAAGCTGGAGGCAAGCCCGTCAGCGAATACATGGCGGTTCAACAGTTGCGAATTTTCTCGGGGGGCTGGACCACATTCAAGGGGATGGGGCGACAAGTTGTTGAATGCGCTCGCCCAAGTGCAGCACGGTGAGCGGGAAACGTTCAAAAAATCGCACCCATGGAGGGGCATTGCCCGATGACGAAGAGGATGATCTGATACAGGTCATGACCAGGATGTTAACACGGAGCAAGCACACCAAGGCGTCGCTGAACAGAAAGATAAAATACGAAAGCGTAGAATGAGGCGTAGATGAAGACGACCATGCCGAGTTAGATGGGGGTACCTGGCATATGCTGGATGCCATGACGGATGAAACGAAGCCACGTGAAAACATGAAGGGCTTACATGACGGCGACGTTTTGATGGACGACCAGAAGATATGAAAATAGTATTCTGCCGTCGATGGAGCCACACTCTCGCAAGATGAATTTGGCCATACATTGAAAAGCCGTATGGAATGCATGCGCAGAGCCCTCGGGAACGCATGGGCATGCAACCTCGCGACCATTGCCACCCAGGGTTACTGCGCTGAGGATGATCACGGCTCACGCGGGCGATTGCATCGACAATTGGCGACAGGTTCGCTACGAGACGCCATGATCGTTCAGCCTTGACACTTGCATTTTCCTTAAAGCGCGAATATGGGGCAATGGGGGGTAAAACTGGGCGCCGACACGGAACGCAACGATTCTTTGGAGGGGCGCCAAGTTAACGATGAGCCAAGTTAACGATGAGGGGCGCGGTGACTGGGGCGCCAGCGTAGATAACCCCGGCTGCTACGGCAGAATCGGTAATTCGCGAACATGGAACGTTGAGGGCACGGGCGGAATCGGCGACGCGAACGAAGCAAGCGCAGGAATTGGCAATGGCAGAAGACCGACGCGTTACAATTGTGGAAGACACGGGCACATCTGCCAAGGGTTGAGCCACCGAACAGACCACGAAAGGACAAGGAAGTGGAAAAGGGGAAGACGAAGGGGCCAAGGGGTACCAAGGCAAGCAGACAAGGGGGGCACAAGGGAGGTCATCAGGGCACGTCGGTTTGCCCAGGAAGCCACAACACTGCAGGGCGCAAAGAAAGCCCTACGCGGATACCAGGGAGGTCGAGGACTGGGATGGAAAGGGGGAGGCAAAGCGGGCAAGTCCCAATCAACGAGAAGGAAAATTACGCACTCGGGGGGAAGGGCCACGTCGCCCCCCGCTGACCCACGGACGCCAACGATGTTTTTCGTGACCGAAGGGGGGCAGGAGGTCCAGGAAAGCCCATGCAGCTGCCGGGGCAACCCCTGCCTGGGCCAGGATGTTACAACGCTGAAATGGGCGAAAAGCTGCGTCGCCATCGACGTCGAAGCACTGGGGCCAGTTGAAGGAGCCCAAGAGTGGAAGATCAGAGGTGCAAGTCCCCCACCGTTATTTCAGAAAAGTTGCGGGCGGAAGAAAGAACGCGACGCCCGCCCGGGCCAGCGCCCTTGGAGCGGAAATGCGGGCGCAATGGCGCGCGCGGTCGCGCGCGACCCGCCGCTGGCAATAACGCGACTGCGCGGGCGTCGCGGCGACGACGACGACGGCGACGGCGACGGCGACTGCGGCGTCTGCGCCGACGGCGACGGGGGCAACGGCGACGGCGACGGCGACGACGACGAACATCGCGGCGACGGCGGCGACAGGGCCCAGTCCCACGGGCAAATTTGCGCCCCGCCCTCGTTCCTGGAGCCCCGCGCCCTATTTTGCATGGGAACATCGAAATTTCCGTTTGCAGTTTTACCCCAGCCGTTCCCGATATACTAAAGTTCTTTTTTTCTGCGTTTGTGAAACGTAGTTGTTTCCCCACATCCTAAGTGGGGTTCTTGTTTTCTCTGCACACCGCCGCGCAGGATCTCTTCTCTCTCCCTCCTCCCTCTCCTCTCCTACTCCGTGCTTCCTCCTCCACCATCATCATCATCATCATCGCATTTATCACCACTCATCATCATCTCTCACCCACCCACCCACCCACTCACTCATTCACCCACTCATCACCGTCGCTCGCTTATGTCACCCGAGGAAGTCTCAGGCTGGAGCCCCCTCCTATGGGCCCCGCACTTCATGTTGGTAATCCGAGCGGGTCATCGGCAACCTGCAATTGTCGTCACGTTTGGGCTCGCCAGGCCTGAATGCGGAGGAAGCATCAAGCGGGAGCCTCGTCTGTGAGTGAATTGCAAAAGTCGCGGGCGGGAGACCCCTCCGCATGGGTCCCGCAATCGGAAACGTGTAGCTGTCGTCACTTCTGGGGTTCTCAGGCGTGAGTTTGGAGGAAGTATCAAGCGGGAGCCTCGTTTGCGAGTGAATTGCAAGGAAGTCCCAGGCGGGGGGGCCCTCCCTACGAGTCCCGCATTTCATGTCGGTAATCCGAGCGGGTCATCGGCAACCTGTAACTGTCGCCATTTGTGGGCTCCTCAGGCTTGAATTTGGAGGAAGCATCAAGCGTGGGCTTCGTTTGCGAGTGAGCTGCGAGGAAGTCGCAGGCGGGAGCCCCCTCCTTAAGGGTCCCGCATGTCACGTTGGTAATCCGAGCGGGTCACCGGCAACCTGTAATTGTCGCCATTGTTGGTGTTCCCCAGCTTGAATTTGGAGGAAGTATCAAGCGGGAGAGCCTCGTCTGCGAGTGAATTGCGAGGAAGTCTCGGGCGGGGGGGCCCCCTCATGGGTCCCGCATCTCATGCTGGTAATCCGGGCGGGCCATCGGCAACTTTTAGTTGTCGCCATTTTTGGGCTCCTCGGGCCTGGACTTGGAGGACGTATCAAGCAGGGGCGTCTGTGATTGAATTGCGAGGAAGTCTCAGGCGGGAACCCCTCCCTATGGGTCCCGCACTTCACGCTGGCAATCCGAGCGGGTCATCGGCAACTTGTAAGTGTCGCCACCTTTGGGCCTTGTGACCCGCACTTCGCGTTGGCAATCCGAGCGGGTCATCTGCAACTTGTAATTACTCCGACGGGGGGACCCCGCATGATAATCTGTTTAGCTTGTCCTTCCTTACCCTTTTCTTCCTCGCCCTGACGGACACTCCCCTCTCGCCCGCCGTTCTGGTCTCACTTACCCCCCTCTTTTTATTTCTCCCCCCCTCCTCCTGCTCCACTTCCTCCTCATCATCGCCCCCCCTACCCCTTCCCCGCCCTCGTCCTTCCCCTGTTTCTTCTCCGCGCGCCCCCCCCTTTTCACCCTGGTCGGGGCAAGCGAGTTCGACAAGAGAGCGGAGACATCCAGGGATGAGGCCAAACAGCTCGCCGCAGAGCTTGGGTTCATGCCAAACCCCCCCCCGAGGAGGAAGGTGGAGGGCAGGAGGAAGGGAGAGGAGGAGCGGGGACGGCATCACGACAACGAGGGGATTGGCGTGAGCATCAGCTGCGAGAAGCGAGAAGGGGGCGGAGGACGAGGAGGAGGAGGAGGAGGAGGAGGCGGAGGATCGGGCCGCATCGATCTCCAATCGCCCATTCATCGCCGATGGGGTCCGGTAGTTCACCCAGCCCTGCTACGTGCTGGGGGCCTGTCGCCCATCAGTCGGCAATGTATCGCCGATGGCATGTCGACGCTAACCCCGTGAGTTGGTCCCGCCGATCGTTTTTCGGCAAGGCATGGGAACAAAGACACCAATCCAGCGCGTCCAGCGCAACTTCGCACATGTGCACATCATCCCTCCTCTGGCGCCCTCCCCTCTGTTTTGGTCGCATTTCCTTTTTGTGCCAATATCAGCTCAGCAAGCGCGCGATTAGGACGCGTGCAGAGGCTCTTCGGCGTGGATAGATTGAACGGATCAGATTTGCTTGGTGATGTTTGGTAGCATGTGGGGATCTGTCCCGGGGTGGCGAATCCAGCGCTGACGACGAGATCCTCCCAGGAGGCCCAAAAAAGGGAAAATTGGCGAAGGGTTGAGGAATGGGTATTTTGTTCCTCCTCCGAGTAATTATGTACCCCTCTTCGTCTGTCCTTCCGCATTCCTTTTTTGTTCCTCACGCGCGATGATTATTCCCTCGTCCCCCCTCCCCGCTCGCGCACATTGCCCATTAGTCTTGATGTCTGGTGAATGTAAAATGGACTATTCCTTCATTCCCCTCGTCGTGATTCCCTTCCCCTCACATCGTCCGACATGCTTTGTGTGCTCCTTCCACCCACCCACCCTGCGTCCTTCCCCGATCCCCCATGTCCCGCTTCTCTTCCTCTATGCATTGTTGCTGGTTCCCTTCTCCGTCCTCTCCAGTCCATAGGTTGCGACGTGCTTCAATTGCCCTTTATTGTGCTCGCCCCCATGTGCCCCCAGCACTAAAAAGCGCCCCGTTCCAACGGAGTGTTCCCTCCGTTCACTACGCTCCTCTGCTCGTCCAGTTTCCCTGTGTCACTCTCGGTAGTCAGTAGCTTGGCAGGCGATGAGCAGCAGCAGGCAAACTCCCGCGGGCCCGAACCGATCCGATCCCGTTCATAGGTCTTCACTTCGCCATCCACACGGTCTGCGATGACTCCGGCGCAGTATTCGCAGAGTCAACAGATTGAACATTTTCGTGAGCAGCCCACGGAGGCCCTTCGGGGTGTCTCTGCATGAGGGATGGTATTGGTGAAAAGAGAGGTGGAGAGGAAAAGGTGTCAGATCTATTTGGCAGTCGAGTGAACGAACTACCCAGCGGATGTGAGTTCAGCCGTTTCTGGATGTGTGTCGTCTCCTGGTCGGCTGGAAGCTTTTGACTCAGCGACGATTGCCCCGGCAACTCCAGGAGTGAGACCACCCCCGGCGCTTGGCCACTCTCAGGGATCGAGGAAAAATTCAGAGCGTGAATTACCTACCCCGCTTTCGCTTCCAGGCAAAACCAAGTCATACCACGCGCCTCCTCGTCAAGCGGCCTGACCAGTACAGGCCGTAGTTTGGCATCGCTTGGTATCTCTTGGAAGCGAGGGTGGTCAAAATCGAGGTAGGTTTGTTTGCCCCCTATTCTCAGGGATCGAGGAGAAACTCACGGTCCCACAGGGGGCCGCATGCGCCCGAATGTGCCATGCTGCGTTTCCAGTGTGGGCCTTTCTCTCGACGAGCTTGGCGCTGACCGTCTGCCTCCGGTGCCGGCTTTCAATACAGGCTCCGCGTGCGGATCATGTATTAGAAATGCAGGGATTGAGTATTCAAAACAACGATGAGCTCATGCATAGATTTATTCATGAGTTAATCATGTATTAACGATGCAAGGATTTAGTATTCAAAACAACGATGGGTTCATGCATAGATTTATTCATGAATCAATCATGCATTAAAAATCCTGTATGTTCTATGCGTTGAAAACTCATATGTATTAAAAACTGCCCATGTCAGGCGAAGGCTGTCGGAAGGCCCGCGGAAGACAACAGGAGCAAAACATTGGTGGCTCCGCCAGCGGACGGGTGGCGAAAGCCAGCGGAAGTGAACGTTGAGGTCCCAATAGAGAGAGGTTTTGGCGTGAAGAGGGCTGGACCAGCATGGATGTATGGGACCGTGGAAGGTGGAGGAGGAGGAGGAGGAGGAGGACGAGGAGGACGGCGAGTCGATGAGGCAGGAAAGGGGATAGGGGAGGAAGGTAAGGAAGGGATAATGACGGGGGGAGGTCGTGAAGGGTAGGGTCGGGGGTGGACAGAACCCCCAACAGTGACACGTCGATTAGTGAATTGTCCGTTTTCGGTTCTCGAGAGGGCGCCTTGGCCGTGATTTTCCAGGCTTGCGCTCGCCAGGTTTGGGCCTCAGGTCGTTTTCACTAAACCACGTTTTACTAGAGGGGGGTCCGTCCATCCCCGATAGGGGTGGCATGAGGCAGGGGGACGGGTGGCGGACGGGGGTTGCAGCGGATGGTCAGAGGGCAGGGGACGGGGAGCGGACCGACTTCCGCTCGAGCCGCACCGGCCTCCCTCGAAGAAGACCATGCGGCGCAAGCACGAACCTTCGAAGGCCCGCGCGGATTTTTTGAATTGGCGCCTTCGGCGCCGACCTTGGTGCGCTCCGCGCGCCTGGGGGCGGATCCATTCCGCCTCGCCTGCTAGCGAGCGGCCCCGGGCAGCCAACCGACGGCCCCAGAACGCATGCGTCTTGCTACCCAGTATCCTGAACTCGGACACGCGGGCATTCCTCTCGGACCCGCTCGAACTCTTGGCAGGTCTCTCTGTGGAGCGGCCGCCCCCGCGCTCCATGGACCCAGTGGCACGGCGACCGCGCGAGAAGAACAATGAGGCAGACCACTTGGCCAACCTGGCCATGTACCTCTGAGTCCCAGTCCAAAACTCTTCGCCCCCCCTGATCCTCAAACCTCACATCTTGGTCCAGTGGCGCGTTGTTCGCCCTGGCCTGGCGGTCCGAGCGGCAGCGTGGATCCTGGGGGTCGCCGAGCCCCCGAACATTACGATCAATCATGCATGCTTGCACTTTTGAATCCGAAGCCGTAGACCGCGTCGCAATGGAATTTCGGGCTCTAACACGCGCCATCCAAACGGTCAGGCTAGCAGGCCCAGCCCAGGGGCATCTCGAGGCCATGCTTGGGCCGAGTTGCCCCTCCCTCGTGTGTTGGGTTCTCGCTTTGAGTAGAGCACTGCCGCACCTCTTCTCCCTCCCGCCCACCTCCATCCGGTCCTCCCTGCTACCTCTTGCCTCGCTCACGCCTGCCTGCCAGCCGGCCTCTTGCCTCGCCGCCCTGCGTGACCCCGCCATCCCCGGGGGCCTGCGAAGCGCGAAACCGTCGCCACTTTCGAGGGTTGCTGGGGGGCCCGGCGGGGGGGCGTCTCATGCAGACTCATGCCGAGGCCCCGACGCACGGCCTGCCACGGCCGGGCCATGCACAGCGAAGTCACGGACGAGAAGACGATGGGCGACCTTTGGCTGCATCTCTGCGCGATGCTGTCCAGGGCGGCGACGGAGGACAACCCCACGACGACGCGCGACCCCAGCCTGGATCATGCCCGCGGGCCACCCGCAGACTTGGCGGCGCGCCCACGGGCATTTTAGCCCCCGCGCTCACAGGTGCGCGAAAGAGACGGAGAAGCTGGCGCGCGAGCTCGGCCTCGCGCGCTCCCGTGCATTGGCTATGAAGACCTGATCTCGTGGAGTGCCAGAGCGATTGCGCGGGCCGCGCTGCGTTTCCAGCGCGCCACTGGAAAAAATCGCTACATTTTTTCGCCCATTCCGTCTGTTTCGTCGTCGCCCCCTTTTCCTTCAACCGTCTCCCTTTTGCAGCCGCGCTGTTTTTGTTCGGATTCGCCCGCGCCCGTCCCTCTTTCAATGCCCTTCGTCGCCGCCCCCATGTTCTGTTCGAGCCTAGGGCCTGAATCCTCGTCCTTCTGTTACTGTCCAGCGAGCTGTCTAACGCGCGCGTTCCCATATGGCTCGCGCGGCAAATGATGGTACCTTCACTGTCGGCTGCCATTCCAAATTGGGCGAGACGCAAGTGGGTTGGGCACGTCACAGGGTAGTTTGTCCCGCCGGTGTTTTACTTCAAGTTGTTGTTTTAGGCCCAGTGTCATTGATGGGTTCGTTGTTTCCTCACCGTCGCTGCAATGTCAAAAGCGCACCCCCCCCCCCCGGAATGTAGCAATGGAAGCACATGAAGAAGGACGGCGGCCATCGTTGCACAACAGAGTTATAATTGCGTTAGTCCTCGTAGACCCCAAGCATATGGTTTATTTAATCGCTTCGCTCATTCCGCCGGCCCATATTGTCGCACCGTTGTGGGTTAGCCGAGTTTGGGGGCCTCTTGAGGGCCGTTTTGGGGCCTCTTGGGGCCTCTTTTGGGCCTCTTGGGCGCCTCTTGGGGCGTCTTGGGGGCCTCTTGGGGGCCTCTTGGGGCCTTTTTGGGGCCTCCTGGGCGCCTTCTGGGGCGGAGGGCTCGATTTTTCAGTTCTCGGTTCCCCTCTTGAGCCCCTCTTGGGCCCGTCTTGGGGCCTCTTGGTCCGTCTTGGGCGGCACTTGGGCCGTCTTGGGGGCCCTCCTGGGCCGTTCCGGGGCCGTCTTGGGAGCCTCGTGGGCCGTCTTGGAGCGGACTTGGGGGCCTCTTGGGCCGTCTTGGAGCGTCCGGAAGCCGAAAAAGCCAGAACGCAAAAAACATAGAAAAAACAATGAAAATCAACGATTTTGGCCTCTTGGGGCCCTCTTCGAAGGCCTCGTGGAAGGCCCTTAGGGCGTCTTGGAGGCCTCTTGGGCTGTCTTGGGGCCCTGTTGGGCGTCTTCGGGCGATCTTTGGCCGTCTCGGGGCCCTCTTGGACCGTCTTGGAGGTTTCTTGGGGACCTCTTGGCCCGTCCTGGGGCCCTGTAACAGGGCTCCAGCATCTCTGGCCCGATCTTGCCGGGACCGTGCCGGGGACTTGCCGGGACCTTGCCGGGGTACTTTTCGCCTGGGGACCCCCAGGGGCCGCCCCGGTTTATTATATTATGTGCGTGCGACCTGTATGCAACCATCTTCGATGTGCGATATACGCTGCGCAGCATATGTAGTGCATTTTTATGCGGTGCACACATGTATATATACACCCACTTATTTATACGCACATACATAATATATATATATATATATAGGGTGTGTATACATATGTATATACAAATACATATTATATATATATATATATGTATATAGATATGTGTGTATGTATATGTATTTGTATATGTATATGTAAATGTATATGTATATGTATATGTCTTTATATCTATGTGTATATATACACACCTATGTATACATATATATGTATATATGTATGCATGTGTGTACATATACTCACGTGGTCCAATGTGTTCGGTGCAGTCCATGTGGTGCAATGGATGTTGGGGAACTGGGGACGATCAGCCCCACTGCTCGCGCAATCGCCCCACCCACCCACCCACCCTCAACTTGGTTTGCAAAACCCACGCGGCAGCGATTGCGATGACTGCTCGGCGCTGGCTCGCGCATCGACAAGGTCACAATAGCCCGCGCGTGCTCGCGCGCACCGCGGCCAGCTAGCTTGGCGCGACCGGCTCGGCTTGGGTGGGGTTCGGCGGCCAGCGCGACAGTGTTGCGCCATTCCGGGCGGAATTTCGGAAAACCCCCTGAAAAAATACCTTGGGCATCCCCCACCGGCCAGCGGGGCCCCCTGGGCCGCGCGCGGGGGTCGCAGAGAAGGCGTCGGGCGCCCGGCCTGGCGGCTCGGCGGGCCTGGCGGCCGGCCCGGGCCCGCGCCAACCAGAACCGTCGCGTCAGCGCGCCCGCAAGCGGGCTCCAGAGGCAGGGCTTGCAGCCACCGAAGCGCCCCCGGCAGTCGGGTTCCACCGCCGCGCCGAGCCCGGCAGCGCAGCGCCGCGGGCCGCGGTCGTTCGCCACGGGGTTGCCTCCACGCCTGCGGCGCCAGCCAGGGCGGCGTTTGGGCTGGCTTTGAGTCGGGCCTGTCCCTCTACAGAGGGGAAAGTCAAAAATAGTCAAAAAATAATATGGGGACGATTTTCCACAATGTTTGAAAACATAATTTTATGATACGTTTTAACTATATTTCATATTTCGTCAAAAATTCCCCTGTGGAGAACACGCCTCGTCACCCCGCCGACGCCGC